CCCCCCCCGTCTCGAGTGTCCCGAAGGAAACTATTCTTAGCACCCAGTGATGGGCACAAGGGCAGCCCGACCTCAGCCGCCGGAGCCGAGGGTCTGAGCGGTGGCAGCTCCGGCCGGCGGGCTGGGAGCTCCCTCCCTCACTGGCTGGCCGGCTCACGCTGGCCGCGGACTCCCCCCTGCTCAGAGAGCCTGGCAGCCAGGGTGAGGCGCAGGCTCCGCCCGCCCGCGTGGCCGCCCCGGGCTGCCCACCCCTGGGACCTGGGTCTGAGCAGGGGGTGTGGCCCTGACCTGTGTCTGACTCCAGGTGACTCGGAGGAGGAGGACATGGGGCTCCTGGAGGTCAGCGTGACGGACATCAAGCCCCCAGCCCCGGAGCTGGGCCCCATGCCCGAGGGCCTGAGTCCTCAGCAGGTGTGTGTGGGAGCAGCAGGGTGGGTGGGGTATTTGGGGAAGGGAGAATCGGGGGAGCCGGTTTATGGCCTGGTCCCAGGCACGTGTGGGTCTTGAAGGGAAAGTGACCATCAGGGGCTCTTGGCTGGGGGCTTCCTGGGCCACCCCGAGTCTGCAGGTTAAGCCTTCCCAGTTGTCCCCTGCTGGTCCGTGCATTAGTCGGGTTGGGGCCCCGGCATTTGAAGCTGGGGCTTTGCGCCTCCCTGGCAACTAGAGAAACCCTTATTTAGCAGTTTGGACTGAAGGTGGTGTTGGGAGAAGGGGCTGCCCTAGCGGGAGGGCTGGGCTGCCCTGAGCTGGTAACGCAGCTCAGGGAGACCCTGGAGGGCGTGGGGTGCCGTCTTTTATCACTTGGGGCCCCGGGGTCCCCACAGAGCTGGGGCTCTCGGGGCAAGGATTCCCTTCTCCCGGAGAGTCATGTCCCGGCGGGGCGGCTCTGCCCTGGGACCCGGGCCTCGTCACCTCTGCTTCCCTCCCGTCTGGCTGTCGCAGCTTGACGCAGGGCGAGAGACCCCCCTCCTGCTTGCCCCTGCTGTGAGCACGTGGGGGCAGCAAGCTCGGTGAGAGGACTGGCCAGTGTTTGCCTCTGAGGGGTGGGGGTGTGTGGCCACCCTGGCCGGAGCGGAGGACAAGCAGTCTGTCCACCTGCTTCCTTTATTTTGCAACCTTCCTGACCCCTCGCCGCAGCCACGGGCCACTATTGGGGCAGTCAGAGTCAGGAGGGACCCCGACTTCCAACTCAAGGTTCAGGCTCTCCTTTGGGGTGTTGCTGGGGTGGGGGGTGTCTCGAGCCTCTTGCGGTGCCGTGACTCTAGCCACTGTTCCGTCAGGGGGTTTTCTCCCCGGGGGCACTTTGTAAGGCCCGGCATCATTTTCCATCCTAACTGGGGGTTGCTACTGGCCTCGAGAGAGAGTAGGGGCCAAGGGTCCTGCTAAAACCCCACCGCGTACGGAATCACTCAGCCTCCAGCGGCAACTTGCCGGGTTGAGAACTTGTGGGCGCAGACCGGGGCCCAGGGTCGGGAGCTGATGGCGCTGCCATGTGGGGGCGGCCTGAGGTCCTGGGGCCTGTGGGTCACGGTCAGGCGGGGAAGAGGGGAGGTCGGGCACCGCGGGCCAGAGGTGGGGGAGGGGCAGAGGAGAGGAGGGGATGGTGGGCTGATGGGCATTCAGGATGGGGGGCAGAGCGTCACCCTCCCTGCCTTGCAGTCAGGTGGACAGCCCCCCCCACTGGCACCTTGTCGAGCTCTGTCAATAGAACCACCTGGGAGACCTTAACTGCCCTCCCCCACCATACCTGGCTTGCACCCATACCAGCCCAGTCAGACTGCGGGGAGGGAGCCAGGTGATGGGGCTTTTTAAAGGTGGCCACTTGATTCCAACACCCAGCCGGGTTTGCCAACCCTCCGGGTGAGGGTCACGGCCCCGGGCAACCCAGGCTCTCTCTGCTGAGCTGCCGGAGGGGTGATTCAGGCAGAGGAGGGATGGGGATGGTGAGAGAAAGGGGGAAGAGGCTGTCCAGCCTGAGGTGGAGGTCACTCAGTGGTGGGGGGCACCCCACAGACGGCCGCGGGAGAGGGGTTGGCTGAGGATTGCATCTACAAGTGACGGGAGCAGACTGCATTTCCGTTTGGGAAGGCGTTTCCACAGGGCTGTTCAGGGTTGGAGGAGGCTGCCTGGAGCCTCTCCTGGACCCTCCCTGGGACGGTGAACGAGGCCGGACAGGGCATCTGCTTAGTCTCAGCCCTGCGTCTAGGGAGCAGATGGGGTGGGCAGAGGCTCTGGGAGGGACGCAGCCCGCCAGGCCCGAGGCCCAGGAAAGGGTCCCGGAGGGACGCCCTGTGCCCAGCCAACAGCCAGGACCTCCCCCTGGGGCGCCCCCGGCCACGCGGCGCGGGCATTCACGGCTTTCTGCCCGGGCAGGTGGTGCGCAGGCACATCCTCGGCTCCATCGTGCAGAGCGAAGGCAGCTACGTGGAGTCTCTGAAGCGGGTGCTCCAGGTACGAGCCGGGGCTTGGGCGGAGAGACCACGGGACGCCGCCAGCTGGGTCCCGTTTCGGACAGAGCTGGCCGGAGGCTGTGGGTGCAGGTCATCCTGCCCTGCCTGGTGGGCAGGCTGGCTCAGCGGGAGGCAGAGCCCAGCAGGGCCGCGTCCTCCTCCCAGCTCCGCTTGGCCCTTGGGTCTGGGGCAGATGGCAGGTGGGCGGGAGGCCCGGGTGTCGCATTCACGGGGGCTGGGGGGCTCTTTAGTGCTCCTTCCCATAGGAGGATGGGTGGGCGGGCGGGCGGAGGGGGGGACCTGGCTCTGGCGCGCACCCCTGCCTCTCAGGCAACCCCTGCTCTCGCGCTCCCACCCCCAGGATTACCGCAACCCGCTGATGGAGATGGAGCCCAAGGCGCTGAGCCTGCGCAAATGCCAGGTGGTGTTCTTCCGCGTCAGAGAGATCCTGCACTGCCACTCCATGTTCCAGATCGCCCTGTCCTCCCGCGTGGCCGAGTGGGACGCCACCGAGAAGATCGGCGACCTCTTCGTGGCTTCGGTGGGTTTCTCCAGTGCTTCCTGGACTCGCCATGGGGAGAAAGCACAGCCCGCGCCTGGGGTCCCGGGCCGCTGCCTCCCCCCATCAGCGGTCAGGGGGAGGCGGCCTGAGTCTGCCGGGGGAGCTGGGGGCGTGACGCCTTCAAGGCCGCCGCGCAGCCTGGGCGCTGTCTGCAGTGTGAGCTGGTGAAGCCAGTTCCCTGCTCCCCTGCACCACCGGGAGGCCAGGGGTGTCCCGGTCTCTGTGGGCAGCCCCTGCCAGGCGGCCTAGAGCGACCTCTGTGGGAGATGCTGGTGCAGACCCTGGTCTTGGCCGGAGGAGCGGCAGGTATCGGGTGCTGTGGCCTCCGTCCCGCTCTGCCTGACACCCTGGAGCCGCCCCAGGACCCCTCCTGGCTCAGGTTCCCACCTGTGGAGCTTGGGGCGGGGGTGGGGGGTGTGTGTGGGGGGATGCACTGGCTTTGTGGTTTTTCAGCTGACGTTTCTGGGCCCCAGAGAGGTTCACTGTGCTGGGGGCAGCAGGGCAGCGGGTCTCCACTTTGATCTGTTTTACGTCACTGGCTCTTCTAAAAGAAAAAAGTATTTTCGTTGGGGCTGAAGAGCTCCCACAACCTGGTGCCCAAGGGGCTTGGCGCCCCCAGGAAAGCCACCTCTGCCCTTGGCAACTCAGTGTGGGGTACTCTGCGTCTGGTGAGCAGCCGGGTGTCCTGCGGGGGCCAGGGACTATTTCCTGGGGGAGGCCAGGAAGGGGTGGAGAGGACAATGTGTTGCCTGTGTTCCCTGAACCTGTGGGTAGGGGCTGCCGAGAGCTGGGACAGGAGTGTCCCCTGTCCCCGCTGGGCAGCCCCATGTCCTAGCCTCGGGCTTGTTGAACACCTCTGGGCGGGGTGCCGAGGTGACGGGGCTGTGGCCCCAGCGCCCGCGTGACCCCCACGCCCGTGCTGTTACAGTTCTCCAAGTCCATGGTCTTGGACGTGTACAGCGACTACGTGAACAACTTCACCAACGCCATGTCCATCATCAAGAAGGCCTGCCTCACCAAGCCCGCCTTCCTGGAGTTCCTCAAGGTGACCCTCCAGGGCGCTGGCGTCTCGGAGGGAGGGCGTTGACGCCCAGCTTTGGGGGTCACAAGGTCGCCTGGGCCCAGACACCTCCTCTCCTTCCTTTGGGGCACCCCCAGTCCTGGCGGAAGAAGATGGGACCCACCTGCCCTCGAGAAGATGATAAAGAGCTTAAGGGTCTGTGAGCGGTCGGGCCTGCAGCTTTGGCAGGGGAAGGGCAGACCCGAGGCAGTGGGTCTCTGGGGGGTGACCCAGCTGTGTCCGGCCCCGTCCCTCGGGCCCACTTGTCTTGTCTGGGCCGCAGCGGGGGACTCAGGTTGTGGCTGGGCTGACTCCTTTCCCTCAAAGGGGTATCCTGGAAACCATGTAGGAGAACAGAGGCTGAAGCCCAAGGCCAGGATTCCCTGGGGTGCAGTCAGGTGGGTCAGACAGAGGGGGACCCTGCCCACGGGGAGCACGCACCCTGCGGAGGTGGCCTCTAGGTGGGCTGGGAGCCAGAACTCGGCTGAGGAACCACCGCCCTGACCCGAGAGCGTCTGGAAGCTTTGTCAGCGGGGTGCCATCTGGCAGAGGTCGGGGTGGTGGAGTTGGTGATGGAGGGGTGCGTGCGTCAGGCTAGAGGCAAGAGGACGGGCAGATGAGTCTGCTTGGCTGCTGGGAGCTCTGGGTACCTGTGGGGCAGGTACCCAGGAGGAGGGTGGGATTTGCTGAGTTCAGCCGGGCAGTTCTGGACCTTCAAGCCCAGGGGTGTTGGGGCTTGAAGGGGTCGGGATGTCGCAATTTGGGTAGCAGTGACCCAGTGGCGGCTGGTGTGGGGGGCCGAGGGGAAGCTCCACAGCAGCCTGCCTTGCAGGGGTGCAGGCTGGGGTCTAGGTGACAGACACAGATGCAGTGGTGGAAACATCTGCGCGAGGCCCCGCGCCTGCCCTCACTCTGGCCCGGGCCCGCCTGCGGGAAGTGGGGCTGTGTGGGGACCCCATGGGTGGCAGGGACGTGGGGCTCGGAATCCAGACCCCCCTGGGCCCTTCTCCAGGCTGGAGGCCGAGCAGAGCCCCAGACTTGGGGGGAGAGCCCAGAATGGGTCCCAGGTGCACCCTGGGGTGCTGGCCCCTGCTGCACAGGGTCCCAGACGACCCGCTCTTGCCTCCCACAGCGGCGGCAGGTATGCAGCCCAGACCGCGTCACGCTCTACGGGCTGATGGTGAAGCCCATCCAGAGGTTCCCGCAGTTCATCCTCCTGCTTCAGGTACCTCCTGGGCTCCCACAGCCTCTGGCCTGCAGGCGTGGGCTGGGGTCCGCCTCCTAGGGCCAGGCAGGGTGCAGGGGGCCCCGACTGGTGAAGGTAGGAGCTCCCTTGGGGTCCCAGGACCTGCTGGACTCCAGGCAGGCGGAGGCGCTCAGTGGACATGCTGACCGCTGCAGTGTCCCCCGTGAGTGGTAGGTAGCCCATGGTGGGGTTCTTCCCCTGATGGCTGAGGGTCCCCGGTGGGGGGCGCCCCTGTCACTGAGCTGGGTGCCAGGGGAGGGCCCTGGTGGCGTGTTCCTCTCTGTCCCGGGAGCTGCCAGCCACAGGGTGGGTGTCCCTCTCCCCACAAGGTTGGGGGTTCATCAGGGCTCGTGCCTGGCGTGGAGCTGAATTATTCCTCCAGCAGCTTTATGGGAGGCCTCGCTCTGTGGCAGGCTCTGCTGTCCCTTTCAGACCAGGGCTCCCTAGGGAATCAAGAGGGGAGAAGTGGAGGGGAGTGGGGATGGGGAGGCTTGGGCCAGGATCAGGGAGGTCTCCGGTGGGCTTCTCAGGCCTGGCTTTTTCTGGGCCCTGGCAGGACATGCTGAAGAACACCCCCAGGGGCCACCCCGACAGACTCTCGCTGCAGCTGGCCCTCACGGAGCTGGAGACGCTGGCCGAGAAGCTCAATGAGCAGAAGCGGCTGGCCGACCAGGTGGCCGAGATCCAGCAGCTGACCAAGAGTGTCAGTGACCGCAGCAGCCTCAACAAGGTGAGAGGCCTTGCCCGCCTGCCCGGCCCTCCAGCTCTCTCCCACGGCCACCTTCGGGCTTCTGAGGGAGGGGGTCCTTGCCTTTCGGAGCCCTCAGGCCTCAGTCTTGCCTGGATGCCCACCTCCATTAGTAATTATGTTTAGGGGAAAAGTGGGTTTCGTCCATGAGCGTAATTACCAGTACATTCATCAGAATTGATAACTCTGGCGTGTGTAAACGAGGAATGTCAGAGCTGAGTCCAGATTTTACCCCTGGTAGCTGCTGTGTGGCCTCCGGGGACTCACCCAGCCTCTCTGAATCTCGGGGCTCCTCTGAAATGAGGACTAACCCAGGGCGCCTAACCCAGGCTGGAGCTGGCAAAGAGACAGGCCCCAGAACATGGGGACGTCTGTGGGGTCGTCAGGGTGGGGGATAAACCGGGAGCTGCTTGGTTCTGTGAACCCCTGAAAGCAGAACTAAGGCGACTGACTAAGGCTGGGGAGATTTTAGCCACGTGGGTGGTCATTTCTGGCAATACAGGAAGGGTGACTGGGACGACAGCCGTCCTTCGGCGGTGGACCACACTGTGGCCTGTGCCTTGGACCTCCCCTGGTCACTGCCACAGGCCTGTGCATCCGGGCGGCACAGGGTCACCCCCACCTCAGGCCGGTTCAGGCTGTCCATGCGTTTGGGGTCTCCACGATATTTTCAAGAGACTAGAATTAATGGCCCACAAAATTAAAAATAGAGATGTCCCATGAGATTCAGACGTGTGGACAACTTCGTGGCTTGGACAGGCCGACCCACCTCCCCACTCGGCCGTGGGTGCCCTGGGCAGCTGTGCCCACAGCCCTGGTCCCCATCATGTGTTCCCCCTGGGTTGCCCAGGACCTCAAAGGTGCCTTGAGTTGATCGAGGAGGTGAGAACTGGGGAAGAAAAGATAGGACAGGAGATGAGTGCCCTGGGGGATGGCCTCATCCTGTGAGGTTGTTCCCTTCCCCCCACTCCCGCCTTCCCCCCCCCCCCCACTCCAGCAGGGCCCCCTGTGCCGGCTACACAGCCAGCATTTGGGGGCGTTTCTCAGAGAAAGTCTGGGACCCACCCACGGCCTCCTGTGCTGGTGTCTCACGGTCTCCGCACATGGGATGTGTCTTCTGTCACCTGCTCTGGCTCTTTTTCCGCCACCGAGAGGGTTTCTTTGGCTCTGGCGCACACACCTGCTGCTGTGGCCGGGATGTCCCAGGGGAAGGGCGTGCGTTGCCACCGTCACTTTGGAAACTGTCCTAGTCCTGCTTGCTCTGGCCCCCTGGGGAGCCTGGCAACAAGGAGCAGGGGGCACTGGCTTCAGAGCAGGAAGGCCTCAAGGAAGGTCTCTGTCTGGGAAGGAAGTGAAGACAGCCCCAGGCTGCCACGCAGGGGTTAGGTCTGAGAGCTGGAGAGGTGGCCGTGCCCTTGCCCCGTGCCGCCCCCCCCCACGCCCCCTGCCCCCCTGGGTCTCAGCCGGAGCTGAGGCCTCTCCAGTGGTTTCCCTCCCACTGTCATCCTGCAGAAGTGGAAATGAAACTGGGTGTGTCTGAAGCGGAACCCTGCCAGCTATTTCAAAATGTGCCTGCTCACGGCACTGGGATGCTTGTGCAACATCTGACATTTTTTTGGATCTTCCCGAGGGGCCAAGGGCGATCTCCAGAAGCCCAGGAGACTTTCCCCTGGCAGTTTTGGCTCCTGGCACACCAGGCGCTTCTGTGGGGCCTGCTCGCCTCAGGGCTAGGCAGTGTGTTCCTGGGCGGGAGGGCAGCTTGGTGGTGGAAGTGGTGGGTGAGGGATCCCGGCTTTAGCAGTTATGGGGCGCCCCTGAGGGACCCCGAGTCCTCTTCTGTATTAGCAGCAGTGGGGCCACCTCTGGCCTCCATCACAAGTGGCCCGCTGCTGGGGACAGTAAACAAGGCCGGCTCTGTCCTGCACTGATGCTCAGCCAGCCCGAGTCCAGAGTCTGGGTTTCCCCATGGGGAACAGGGGTAGGACCGTGAGCCGATGTAATGAGCAGCAGAATATTTACTGCCTGGTGCATATTCTGACTTTTGTGTTCATTTAAAAGGTGGGGTTCTGGGGAGATCGTAGGGCATCTCTGCAGGGGAAGCTTTGAGACCTGTCTGGGGATGGAGGGAAAGAGGAAGCAAGGGAGGGAGGGAGGAAGGAAGGATATGTGTTGTCCCGGGAAGTAGATTCGCTGAGAACTCCCCTCCCTCTCCCCACCCCTTCCCTGCTAGCGGAAAGGTGCTCTCCTCCCATCCCTGGTGGGATGGTGGTCCCAGGGCGGGCAGAGGGTTTTGGGACCCGGCCTGTGGCTGGCAAGGGCCTGCTCAGATGCCCGAGGCCTGAAGGTCTCAGCCTCCTCTGACGTCCCCTCCCTGAGGGGCAGGTCAGTCTCCAGGCCCCCTCTCTGCATCCTCAGCTGAGGGGGGCTGAGGCTTGCGGCAGGTTAGCATGCGGGGGAGGGGGGCTGACTTCTGGCCCCCCGAGTGAGGCTCACCTCTTAGCAGCCTGGACGGCGATGGGGGATACCGTGGCCTGCAGCCGCCGTTCTGGCCCGGTGCCGGGCAGCCTTCTCTTGCCAACTGTCACACAGGCCCCTCCACCTGTGCTCCGCAAGTGACGTGGCCGTACCCAACCCCTTGCGTCGTGGCCTGAGTGGTGGAGGTGCTGGCCCCACCGGACAGCTGAAGGGCGGTGATGTAGGGTCACCGAGCGCTTCATGGCTGGTGGGGCAGGGGCAGGGCTTTCAGACTGACTTAGAAATCAGTCGTCGAACTCCACCTTGGACGAATTCTAGACAGAGGCAAGATTCCCCGCCTGACTCAAGAGGGAAGAACATTGTTAGGACCTAGAACCATTCCGAAAGGCAAAAGCCGCGTGCCTGTGACACCAGGGCTGCGTGGTGGGCGGCGATGGTCCAGTGATGGCCATAGGGAGGGCAGGGGCCAGCTCACCTGGGAGGGAACCGGCTTCTGGGCCAGTCTGCCCAGCAGGGGTCCTTGGCCTCTCCCTCCCCGCACCCCCCCGCCCCCCGTACCCGGCCCGGGACCTCTTCCCCTGCCGCAGCCCACCCCGCTGCCAGCCTTCATCACCTTGGTGTGCGGGGGAGGCTCTGGCACTGACCTTGCCCTGTCCCCCACCCAGCTGCTGACCTCAGGCCAGCGGCAGCTGCTCCTGTGTGAGACGCTGACGGAGACCGTGTACGGTGACCGCGGACAGCTGATCAAGTCCAAGGAGCGCAGGGTCTTTCTGCTCAACGACATGCTGGTCTGTGCCAACATCAACTTCAGGTGAGCGGCCTGGCCTCGCCCCTGCAGCCGCCCGTCACGCCCCAGCCCTGCCAGCCCCCGCGACGGGGTCCCCCCCAGCTTCCCCTCCCTTCCCTCCTGGCCTGCTCTGCCTCAGCAACCTTGAGCCGAAAGGCCCTGCCGGGACCACTGGGGATACCCCCAGGCCCCTGGGCAGTAGCTGTCCATTGTGTAGCGTCTGCTGCGGAACCCGAACAGCTGCCTGAGTTTGGACCTCGTTGCATTTCAGAGTTTCCTTCTCATGCTGCCCCTCCTCAAATCCATTGGGTCCCCACTGCCTGGGGCCTCTTGACCAAATGACCCCCAACTGGGGTCTTTCCGGCCCCGCTCTCAATGCTTAGTGACATTTTAGGAAAATGCCCTGAAAATAGCAATACGGTTCCAACGACCGAGCTCTAAACCATCTGTGCTTGGTGTTCATCTCGCCCTGGCGCTCCCCCTGCCGGGCTGGAACACGGGGGGCTGCCAGTGCAGCCCCACTCTGACCCCTGCTGGAGTCAGCCGCACCTTCCTGTGCATGGGCCCACGCGTTTGGGGGTTTGCTGGGGTGGTGGCTCACGTGCCTGGGAAGAGGAGGGTGGGCTCACCCGCCTCCGCCGTCCGTCCGTCCATCCGTCCGTCCGTCCGTCCGTCGTGTATTGGGCCTTTGCTTTGTGCCAGTTCCCAGCTCCGGACAGGACGGGCCCGGCAGGAGACTCAGGCAAGGAGGCCTCTGTCCCATGGGTGTGACTGTGCTTCTCGCCCCTCCCTCACTCAGTCCATAATCCGATCCCTCACCACGGAGTCACTCTACTTTTAAGTCCCCTACCCCCGGGCGCCGCCACCAGCTGGGTGAGCCGCGGCAGTCACGTGACCTGTCCGAGCATCCGTGTCCTTGTCTGGATGACACGCGCTCCCCACCGGGCCGTGGTGGCCTCATCGAAGGCCAGTGCCCGGCGCAGGAGAAGGCCCCCCGTGTGCCCCCGGCCCCGTGTGCCCCCGGCCCCCGCTGCCATGGCTCCTTGCGAGGGGCCGTCTGTCCCCCGCTCTGCTGCCTGGTTCCCAGCGCCCTCAGCCTCCGTAGGTGTCGCGCAGGAGCAGGAATGACCTCCCTCCCTTCTTGTTTTTCTCTTCAGGCCTGCCAACCACAGGTAGGGGCTCGGGGGCTCCGTGGCACGCGGGTCGGACCTGGGCTGGGCCCCGGTGCTTCTGCCTCAGCGATCTGCCCTGGCTTGGTTTGGCCTGAGACCTTGTGCTTGGGCTGCGAGGGGCCTGGCTGAGCTGGCGGGCTGAGCCGCGGTGCTCTGGGCTGGCTCCGGGGCCAGGGTGCAACCGGCAGCCCGCCGGACCTCGCCCCAGGGCCTTGTCCTCCTGTCCCGGCAGGGGCCAGCTGGAGATCAGCAGCCTGGTGCCCCTGGGGCCCAAGTACGTGGTGAAGTGGAACACGGCGCTGCCTCAGGTGCAGGTGGTGGAGGTGGGCCAGGAGGGCGGCTCCTACGACAAGGACAACGTGCTCATCCAGCACGCCGGCGCCAAGAAGGCGGCGGCCACGGCCCAGGCCCAGAGTGAGTACCCGCCCCGCACCCAGGCGTGCACACAGGCACTGGCACCCGCACGGCACCCGCACCGGTGACCGCGTCAGAAAACTCACTGCCTGCCCAGCGCTGCCGCCCTGTGGGGCCTCGGTGGCTGTTGCCGCCTGCCTGTGCCTGCCTCAGTTTACCACTCTGTGCAGGGGGGGACCCAGGCGACTCTCGCTCTGCCTCCTGAACCCCCAGGGAGCAGGCTCAGGCTGTCAGGTTCTCCCTGCACCCTCCTTCCTTCGCCGTGACCGTCCCTCAGGCTGTCGGGGGACCGGGCCTCGGGGCGGCCTCCCCAGTGCCCGCTGCCCTCTGGGCTCGTCTGTGTCCTGACTCCTCTCGGCTCTTCCGCGAAACCTCTTCTGGCCGTGCCTGGGCCCGGTGCCGTGCCCGGCTCAGGCCCGCTGTGCTCGTGCCTACCTTCCCGGTGCCGGAGCGCTGCCGAGCCTGCGCCCTCGCCGGGGGCCTTGGCCGAATGGCTGCCAGGTGCCAGTCGCACAGGCACTGCGAGGCCCCCTTGCTCCCCGCTGCGGGCCATCGCCCAGTGGGCAGCGGGTCCTTCTGCAAGTGGGAGTGACTCCCTGGGCGGGGGGGGGGGGTCCCTGCGCCTGCTCCCCGCTGCTGGTGTCTCTCCCCGGGACCCCGAGCAGGACAGGCTCCCAGCCGCTGTTCGCAGAAGCCCTCCCACCAAGGGTCCCGGCCCACGAGCCTCCCTGGAAGGCACCTCCAGCCCCAGTCCCGCTCCCCTCGCCCCCCGGCAGCGCAGCCCCTGTCTGGGACCCCCTTCAACGATGGTCTGGCCCGTGGCCACGTGCCTCCCATCCGGGGGTGCGCTGCAGGCCCCCTCTGCGGGGAAAAGGGAATGCTGGTCGGACCCAGTTGGGCTTGGATGAGCTTTTATTATTCAAGTCCGTGCAAATACAGGACGAGGTGTAATAAGTTCCTCATGCCTGTATCCCTCCAACAACCATAAAACCAAAACAAAGTCACAAATGGGATAAAAATGAAGCCACGAAACAATAAAATTCAAATCGACAGCATTAATTGAATGTGATGGATGATGTCGTTTTGCTGGAACCAAACCGTTCCCCAAGTGAACTTGGCCCCCCACGGGACACGGCCTTCCGCTCCCCCAGCCCCTCGCTCCCCGGAATGCCTCAGGGTCACCCGGTTCCCGGCGGCTCGCCCCATTCGGGTGGCGGCAGGGGCCTTTGTCCTTCCTCGGTGCGCATGTCATCACCCCGCGCCCACCTGGCGCCCTGCCCTGCCTGGTGCCCACGCCGGGGCCAAAGGCCGAGGAAGCCCTGACGCCACGCAGCCCGGGCTCTGCGTCAGTCTGCGTCACTCTGCCAGCGGTGCAGGGGCGCCTGTGTGACTCGGAGAGTCTCCTGCCGAGCACAGGGCAACACCCCACTTACCTGTACCCTCACGGGGATCTCGGGCCCTGGCCCCACCTGGCGCCTCCCAGGCCTGGGGTCTCCATCTGCAGCGCTGACTGCCCCGCGCCCCGGCTCGCACGCCGTCAGAGCAGGAGCCATCTTCCAGCGCTCGGCAGAGCTGCCACGCAGTGGGTTCTTAGAGACCTAGTTGCGGTTCCTCTTCAGGGCTTCCTCCAGCCTCTCCGCCCAGGCCCGGCCTGAGGGGGCGCCTCCGCTCTCTCAGGCTCAGTGGGGTGAGCTCCCGGTGCCCTGCCCCCCTTTGCATAGCTGGGTGCCCGGTGCCCGGCTTTGCCTGTGAGTGAGTCTGCCCTCCCCAGCGGCAGGGCAGGAGCCAGGAGCTTCCCTCGGCTGCGCTCCTGCCGCAGCCCAGGGCCACCCTTTCCTTTGGCAGCAAGTGGGTTCCTGCGGGTGCCCCGCCCTGAGGCTGAGTGGGGTCCCTCTTCCCTGCCAGACAAGGTGTACTTCGGCCCGCCGCGCCTCTTCCAGGAGCTGCAGGACCTGCAGAAGGACCTGGCGGTGGTGGAGCAGATCACCCTCCTCATCAGCACCCTGCACGGGACCTACCAGGTGCGCACCCGGCCGCACCTGGCTGCTCGGGGGGCGGTGCCGTATTGAACAGGCAGCACGGGGAGCCTCGGGCGCCCAGTCCCCGATGTGCTCCGGCTTCTGAGCCCCCGAGCCGAGCAGCTAGTGCTGTGGGCCGCACCGGGCGGTCTGGTTCAGGTGGAGACTCAGGTTTGGGGTTCGTGGAGCCAGGCTGCGGGGTGTGGTTCTGACCTCTGCACAGCCTGTCTTGCAGCCCCTTTCTGGGGTTGCTCGAGGCTGAAGAGGGGGTGCTTACCTTCTGAAATTGGGGCTGCTGGGTGGGCGTCTGCGCCAAGGGTGGGAAAGCCTGGTCCCAGCGTGGACTGTGGCGTGCCTGGCTTCTGTAGGGCCTGGGGTGGCTTTGGGGGGCCGGCAGGCTCTGTGGCGACCTCACTGGCCTCCTCAACCCTAGAACCTGAACATGACTGTGGCTCAAGACTGGTGCCTGGCCCTGCAGAGGCTCATGCGGGTGAAGGAGGAGGAGATCCACTCGGCCAACAAGTGCCGCCTCCGGCTCCTGCTCCCCGGGAAACCCGACAAGTGAGAGGAGGGGGCGCTGGCCAAGGGGAGGATGCAGAGCAGGGTGCCTGGCGTCAGGCCTGTGCCAGTGTCACGCTGGTGGCCGTGGGTGTGACACTCTGGGCGCCTCGCCCAGCACAGCACGTTGCACGGAGCAGGTCTCGTGGTGGGATGAATGAGTGAGTGAATGAGTGAGTGAATGATTGAGCGAGTGAGTGAATGAGTGAGTGAGTGACTGAGTGAGTGAATGATTGAGTGAGCGAGTGAGTGAGCAAGCAAGTGAGCAAGTGAGTGAGTGAATGACTGAGCGAGTGAATGAGTGAGTGAGTGAGTGAGCGAGTGAATGAGTGAGTGAGTGAGTGAATGAATGAG